TTAAATGACAATAGTAGTAGTGTGTTTGTTTGTTTGTTGTTTAACGCCGCACTCAGCAATATTCCAGCTATATGACGGCGGTCTGTAAATAATCGAGTCTCGACCAGACAATCCAGTGATTGACAACATGGGCATCGATCCACGCAATTGGGAACGATGACATGTATCAACCAAGACAGCGAGCCTGACCACCCGATCCCGTTAGTTGCCTCTTATGACAAGCGTAGTCGGCCCCATACGGCAAGCATGGGTTGCTGAAGACCTATTCTACCCTTGATCTTCACGGGCCAATATAGTAGTAGTAGTAGTAGTAGTAGTAGTAGTAGTAGTAGTAGTAGTAGTGGCAGTGGCAGTGGCAGTGGTAGTGGTAGTGCAGGTAGCAGCAGAAGTAGTACTTGTAGTTAAATCGTGTGCTAATCGTATGTAAAATATTTGTTTGTTTTCTTTTGCTATCTAATGCCGCACTCAGCAACATTCCAGCTATATGACGGCGGTCTGTAAATAAACCAGTCTGGACTAGACAATCCAGTGATTTATATCATGAGCATCGATCCACGCAATTTGGATATGATGACATACCCGATCCCGTTAGTCGCCTCTTACGAGAAACATAGTTGCCTTTTACGGCAAACGTATGGTAGCAGTAGTAGTAGTAGTAGTAGTAGTAGTAAGAGGAGGAGGAGATTTGTAGGGTGTTTCCCCTTCCCCCCCCCCCCCCCTTTTAAGAATAACCTCATCGCGTTTGCGTGTGTGCATTATGATTGTTTGTTTGTTTGCTGTTTAACGTCGCACTCAGCAATATGCCAGCTATATGCCGGCGGGTGCATTTTGAAGTGAGCATTTACCCTTGACATGGTGTTTGCATATGACGAACAGTGTTATATTTCTCCCACATTTCGTGCAAGGATAAACCTTCCCTAATAAGAGTCAACATGCAGAAAAAATTAACCATATCTAAATTTCAGAAGAAAAAACTGCACCGACCATATTTCTACGCTTCAGTCAGCTGTGAACTGTATTAATAAACCAGCCTTGCAGGGTATGATAACAAACCCAAGTGTATTCCGACACGTGGTACACACATGCAATCACATATCAAGGATGCAAATTTGAACCTTCCTGCTATTGCTGGATTAACGTGTCAGACAATGTACACATATCTTGTATGGAAAATGTGTGAACGGCGGGTGCTACCAGTAGGGCAGGACATGCTGACCATTTTCGAGAACACCTGGTGTCATCACTGATTTTCAGTGGTCCATTATTTACTTTGTAACACAGTGGCTTTTGCTTGGTAATATTATCTCCATTAAATGTCTTCAAGATAAGTCATCCCCAGCCCTCTCGGCATAAGGACCAGCACTGAGTCTGTTAATGGAATGTCAATTTGTAACTTGAAACTCCACAATCTCTGCTCAGATCCGAGCACATTCTGACCACTGGAGGATACAGTATATTTAATTTTTAACACTATTTTGCTGACTGGTGATTCTCTGGCGTTGACGATTTATGTTTAAGAGCAATTCCACCATGGCAATCCATACAGTCTCACGTAGATTTGGAATTAATGAAGCTAACGAAGTTTGTTTCAAATACACTATTGTATAGACAAGCATTTTAGAACTTGAAGACGCTTCCCTCTCATGAATTGTTTTACACGGATGGATCAAACAATGGCAAAAGAGTATCAGCTGCAGCTGTCCGAGACAAACTCACCGATTCTGTCAGGATAACTGATGAAAGTTTTATTCTCAACGATGAAGCTATGGCTAACGCCGCACAGCGCAATTTCCTCATTTCCTCAGACAGTTTACAGAGAATGAAACTGTATCATCTAGAACTGTCTGCTGCTGGAAAAAAATATCGAATTTTGTTGCCTTCCCAGTCACACTGGCATCATGGGCAACTTTAAAGCAGATTATTCAGCTAAAGCTGCCCCTAATGTCAGTAACAAAAAAAACAAGATACCGTTCACATACCTTAAATCTGCTATTAAATTTAGACAGTATGAAAATAATGAATGGCAGCATAGTTGAAATGGAAAGGTGTCCAATATGTTGTTTTACGCCGCACTCAGCAATAGTCCAGCTATATGACGGCGGTCTGTTAAAATCGAGTCTGGACCAGACATTCCAGTGATTGACATCATGAGCATCGATCCACGCAATTGGGATACGATGACATGCATCAACCAAGTCAGCGAGTCCGACCACCCGATCCTGTTACTTGCCTCTTATGACAAGCATAGTCGCATCACGACATTAAACGTATACTAGGACTTAATGAATGTTCCAGACCAGCTCGTCATGATGAAGTAGTCCTGCAGCCGTGTGGGACACAGTTAATTTACACATTCATTCTTACTGAAGGAACACTATCCACCGCAATGCATCCCTTGCAATAACCTAATTATCATCAAGTGTACTTGAGTGTATTGACTATGCACATTCCAGACAGCGATTTCAAACTGAGCTGACCTTCTTGGAACAGTTTCTCTCAACACGATTTTAGCGTATTTAAAAGAAATCAATCTCTATCTATAGATCTTCATTTGAATAGTCGCCGCGATTCGCTGTGCAGAGTTGCGTCCCTTGGGCACGCCAGAAACCTATGATAGTGGGTTCGAATCCCGGTTCGCCCCGATTATGTTTCTAGGTTTGTCAGTACCATACCCATGCTCGTGGGTTTCACCAAAGTGGTAAACGTCTGGGACCTGCATCACTTCGGGCTTTCCTCCTACATTAAGCTGACACTCCGTGATATAACTGGAATACTGCTAAAAGCGGCGTTAAACCCAACTCACTCACTCACTCACACTCATTGCTCCTTTACCCTTGAATCGGATATCTGGTGGCCGAGATTTTAGATTTGAGTGACTTTTTGAGTTTTCCTTTACACACGGTAATACTGTAGACATTTCTCGCCACGACTAGCTGCAAGGCTGCTGATGCAGCGTGAAGTAACAAGCAGTCCCCCTCACTCAAAATAAGACAAAGGATGTAGTGATTCCATTATGGGAAACCCTTTGGAATCTGACAATGAGAGATATCTGCTTTGAAAGTCCCGACATGAGACGGGATCCAAATAACGTCGCAAGAAACTCAACATTCGTGACCAACTCGTGTTATTCCGGGACAAACCGAATAGCGACTCGTGCCCCTCTCGTGGCCATTTTTGCGACCGGGTTCCGTCTTAGCGCAAACGGGCATACCTAAAACAATTGTCAATTCGTTGCGTAATGGTTCACATATATTTCCCCATATATTATATATATTTCAGATGCAATTTAAAGCACATCGGGACTTGCGGAATTATACAGTATGATTGAACACATTTAAATGTGTCTTGGGTATATTTTTAGATGCAAGACATATGTAAAATCAAAATTATTTCTGAGGGATTCTTTGACGAAGTACTTGAAATCATACGCGCATTCTGATTGGTTTGTCGTATTTTCGCACATAACATTCATCGATAGGGGGACGAGTCTTCTTGCAGGTTACGGAAAGGGGCGAGTGGTGACGAATGGAAACTCAACTTTGTTGAGTTGAGAAACGTGTCTAAACTTACGATCATGACAAAAATATGCAAATTGTCACATTTTGACCCCGATGCCCCAGATTCAGTTACACGTACAGCTGCCACGAAATTGCTAAATATTACTCAGTCTGTTGTAGGTGCGGTGAAATGGGGTTTAACGTCGCGTCCAACAAAATTGCACATCTATATCGACGTGCATGTACGTGTGTGTGTTTGTGTTTGTGTGGCTGCTTGTACTAGTCCGGACTGATGCCGATTTATAGTGCTAGTTCACTGAGATACCATGCCGCAGTTTAACATGAATACCCCACTCTTTTGGTATGACGCGGCCGGGGTTCGAACCCCGGGCCTTCCGCTCTCCGGGCGGATGCTCTACCACTAGACCACGGTGGCGGTCTATTACTTTTATAACCCCCTCCAGTGCTTTGAGAAAAGCAATTAATTCAGCAGCTAACCCAGATAGGTGATCATTTTCTGAAACACCTCTGCAACAGACAAAGCTGGGACTTATAATGCAACATATTCAGGACACGTTACCAGAATTAAACATTTTGAAAGCTTTACTGAGGCCTTGAATGGTGTAAACCTGATCGAAAAACCTGAACACGAGTAGAATGACGCTCTTTGAATTCTGGTTATTTCCCAGCTTGGATAAAGAAGTTCGTGTGAGTGCGACGCCTACAGTTTTGCCTCGAGGTATTTATGGTGCTTGTTTTCGCTGTGTAGAGTATGGCTGTATGGTGTTCGTGTGAGTGCGACGTCTACAGTTTTACTTCGAGGTATTTATGGTGCTTGCTTGCACTGTGTAGAGTATGGTTGTATGGGGTTTGTGTGAGTGCGTCGTATACAGGTTCTGCGTTTTCTATTCTGGCCTAATTATTGAGTGTTCTGTGACAATATCTTTTAAAGTTTTGTTACAATGTTATTACCACATGAACTAGTTTAATTGTTGTGATCCGTTTACACTTAGAATACTACCCGATCACCCTAAAAAACCTTCCTTTACTTTAAACGTTAAATTATATGTTCAATATCCCTTGAAATGTCAGGATGCTCGCGTGCACCTGCACCCCCCACCCACACACACCCACACCCACCCACCCAATTCCCATCCGACACCAGAGATCATATACTAGATTATATGGTCTCTGCCGACACCCACACCCCCAATAAATGACACTCACCAAAAAGACAAAGAAAACAACAGAACAAAAAACAATAACAAAAACGAACCGAAATATATAACAACAAATCAAAGCAAGCAAACAAAACAACAAAAACCCACCCCACCCCATCCCCACAGACAGACACACGTCTGAGCGCTGTGTTGAATGAGAATGTTCATTGTATATCAGCGTGATATAAACTCCTGCGTGACATTTAGTGTATTTACCCTACATGGTTGGGGCTGTTGTTTATGAGATCTCCACCTGGGCCAAGTTATCGACTTTACGGTACGGCGCACATCTTCTCAAACTTCATCTGCACTAATGTAAAGTGTATCTTGTAGCGCCAAGTCAAGACTTCCACAACACACGGGAACAGACACCGCTGTGTGAGATGTCGGGGTGACATGTGTGCCGCTTCATGAGTTACGCGCCCCGAACATGGATTATGAATAAAGATTCGCTGTCAGATCGCAACCACTCTTCTTTGAGGAACACGTCGGTTTAACTCCATGGCTGAATAGCTAGAAACATGTGCACGTTCATATACGGAGGACTTTTTCTTTTGGGGATATCCCTCCTGTGTTATGTCTATCTGTCCCGCCAGCCCGGGGGCAAGGGTAAACAGCCCCCGGGGCCATTCCGTTGGCCCCTGCTCGGGTCCTACCCCCAGATGGCGATGTTTGGGGCAACCAAAGTGCATGAGTATTTTCAAATGATACAGCGCAAATATGGCTCCGTGGCAAGGCTATATTTTGGACGCTATCCTATGATTCTGTTGTCAGGGTATGACGCCATCCACGAGGCGTTCGTCACACAGCAGGACAGCACCACAGCCAGACCCGACTTTCTCCCTGGGGTAAATGTCGTCAAACAACACGGAAAAGGTAGGTGGTGTGTGCATGTTGGAATGTTGTCAAGTTTTATACGTTAAGTGGGCGATGTGGTAGCCCCGTGGTTAAAGCGTTCGCTTGTCACGTCAAACCCGTCTATTCCTGCATGGGTTCACTATGGGAAGCTCTGGTCTCCCCCGCCTTTGTATGAAGGAATATCGCTGGACGACACGGCGTCATGCAATCATAACTCTCTCACAAACTCGTATGGTCTTATAAGAAGAAGAACTTAACTTGCACTCCCATCATACCTTGTTAAGAGTATACGTATGCACGGACGGATGCACGCATGCACGCACGCACGGACGCACGCATGTATGTATGTATGTATGTATGTATGTATGTATGTATGTATGTATGTATGTATGTATGTATGTATGCGTGCGTGCGTGCGTGTGTGTGTGTGCGTGCGTGCATGTATGTATGTATGTATGTATGTATGTATGTATGTATGTATGTATGTATGTATGTTTCTGCGTATGTATGTATGTATGTATGTATGTATGTATGTATGTATGTATGTATGTATGTATGTATGTATGTATGTTTCTGCGTATGTATGCATGCATGCATGTGTGTGTGTATGTATGTATGTATGTATGTATGTATGTATGTATGTATGTATGTATGTATGTATGTATGTATGTATGTTTCTGCGTATGTATGCATGCATGCATGTGTGTGTGTATGTATGTATGTATGTATGTATGTATGTATCTATGTATGTATGTATGTATGTATGTATGTATGTATGTATGTATGTATGTATGCTTCAATTGTGAGTACTGTAAATATGCAGTTCACAACAGTTTAAACCATGTCGTAACATACAGTTGTAAATACAGTCAATACGAAGTTCATAACAGCTTCAACTATGCGCTGACGTTCAATTGTGAGTACAGTCATTATGCATATCATAACAGCTTAAACTACGTGGTGACATTCAAACTATGTATAATGGAGACATGCTATATACAACATCCCACGCTCGGGTTCTATACATGGCAGCCCACGCACGTTCAGCTGGTGTACCTGTACGCACGGACAGCTATAATTGTGGGTACACATAAAGGTCTTCTCAATCCCGCTGATCTGAGTCAGACATATGAAGCAACTTCACGCCAACCTCGCTGTCATATTTTACTGGCCAATTGACACGATTGTAAATTATTGTAAATATGTTCAGGGTAAGGGTCGGGGAGTGCCTGTGTTAAAGTGAGTGAGTGAGTGAGTGGGATGAGAAATTTATGTGTATGAGTGAGTGAGTGAGAATTATGTTTAGTATACACATGTACATCATAATATACATATGTATACATGTATGTATCACTATGTTTACGATCACTATCACCGTATACTCATTCACATATCAATACATTTACGAGCTGATCAAATACAGTCAATAGTGAGTGAGTGAGTTTGGTTTAACGCCGCAGTGGACCCGTGAAGATCCGGGGTAGAATAGGTCTTCAGCAACCCATGCTTGCTGTAAAAGGCGACCATGCTTGTCGTAAGAGGCGACAAACGGGATCGGGTGGTCAGGATCGCTGACTCGGTTGATGCATGTCATCGTATCCCAATTGCATGGATCGATGCTCATGATGTAAATAACTAATTGATCAGGTTCTTCATATAGCTGGAATATTGCTGAATGCGGCAAAAAAAACCCCAAAAAACCAAACAAACAATTGAAACAAATCTTAGCGGTGACCCATCACTCACTCGTAATACAACAATTCCAAATAAAATTTGTTAGGCAACAAATGAATCTTGCAAAGTCGTTAAGTATAGACATGATTACCAAAGAACAAATTTTGTTTCATCCAGGACTGTTCTTTGGAAACGGGGAAACTTGGAATAAGGTTCGAACAACACTGAAGAAAGGGGTCGCTGCGGTATTGAAAACCTCGGCATACGAAGAGACTGTGCTGGACGAGACCAAACTCCTTATTGACGAGTTTGTGAAGAAGGGAGCAGAGCCTTTCCAACCCCGACAGAGTCTGTACACAACAGCTACGACATGCAGATATACTGCTTTGACGGGACAAAGGTTCGTCATCAGGTTTTTTTAAGGGGGGTGGGGCGGTCGGGTAGCCTGGTGGTTAAAGCGTTCGCTCGTCACGCCGAAAACCCGGGTTCGATTCCCGACATGGGTACAATGTGTGAAGCCCATTTCTGGTGTCCCCCGCCGTGATATTGCTGGAATATTGCTAAAAGCGGCGTAAAATCAAACTCACTCACTCATTCACTCTTTTAAGGGGGCATTGATGAGTGAAAGGGTGTTCGCGACACATTGTTCTTTGCAAACCTTTACGCAATTTTAGGTTGAAACACAAAAATGGAACAAGGATTTCGAGTCACCTGGTAAGTAATCTGATTATATCTTAAAGGATTGCTAAAGGTTAGCAAAGATACAGACCGGCTCAATGCCCATTGATGTATTAAAAATGAAAATTTAATATACTCATCCCCAAAAAGAAACGCGAACCATAGAAAGTTAACATACATGGAGGTGATGTGAAATTTGGTTTAACGTCGCGTCCAAGATTATTGCACTTATATAGCGACGTGCATGCACGTGTATGTGTGTGTGTGGCTGCTTGTACTAGTCCGGACTGATGCCGATTTATAGTGCTAGCTCATTGAGATACCATGCCGCAGTTTAACATGAATACCCCACTCAGACACAGTATACTGACTCCGAGCCGACCAGTCCTTGTTTTAGCCCCTTAATGCCGAGCGCCAGACAGGGTAACAACAAGTACAATCTTTTAACGTCTTTTTGTATGACGCGGCCCGGGTTCAAACCCTGGACCTTCCGCTCTCCGGGCGGACGCTTTACCACTAGACCACGGAGGCGGTTAACATACAAGGAAGTACATGTATGTTCGTTTAGAAGAAATGTTTCCAATGTGCACCAATGAAGGACAAAACTAACAATCAGCCATGTGTTACCACAAAGTGACTTTATTCTTATCACGATATGCTGCGCGTAATTTCCAAACTTTGCACGCTAATCCTGCACGAGGTGCATCTCAAGTCATTGATCTATGACGTCACATGTGATGCGTTCATGAGCGTCGTTTCATACAACATACCAGTATGTTCGTTTGTCCATCGAACTGATTTAATATCTCTTGAATTTGAGTAATTTTTCACATATTAACCAACATGTATGGTATTTGCGTGTCTTTTGCGATGAGTATATATGGAAGCTCCTATTGGACTATTGTCTACCACACGCGGAGATTTAGGTTAGAACAGATCCCGGCAAACCATGCGTGTAAGTGAGTGCGTGAGTTGAGTTTAACGTCGCTTTGACGAGTATTCCAGTTATATCAAGGGCGTGTTTATGAGAGAGGAAAGCCTCAGAGTGAGTGAGTGAGTTTGGTTTTACGCCGCTTTTAGCAATATTCCAGCAATATCACGGCGGGGGACACCACAAATGGGCTTTGCACATTGTACCCATGTCGGGAATCGAACCCGTAGGCTACCCGACCGCCCCTGAAAAGCCTCAGATGTTCTTCACTTTAGTGAAACCCACAAGCACAGGTATGGTGCTGACTAACGCTTGTCGTAAGAGGCGACTAAAATGGATGGATCGGGCGGTCTTGGGTCGTTACACGTCAACGTACTCCAGGGTCGGGTCGGGTAGCCTAGTGGTTAAAGCGTTCGCCCGTACGCCGAAGACCGAGGTTCGATTCCCAACATGGGTACAATGTGTGAAGGCCATTTCTGGTGTCCCCCGCCGTGATATTGCTGGAATATTGCTAAAAGTAGCGTAAACCATACTCACTCACTCACTCAACGTACCCCAAATGGATAGCTGCTTAAAACATCAATCACTGGATTGTCTGGTCCAGATTCGATTATTTCCAGGCCGCTGTCATATAGCGGGACTATTTATGAATGCGGCGTTAAACAACAAGCCTACCGAACGCCTTACTATACACATATCACAGTAAACGTTTTCAACACGTAAAATTCGCGCTTATTTGATTGCAGCTACATGTTTAGGCTGGTCTATCTCGGAGGACTTATCTGTTATTAGCCGTGAAAGCCATTTAGCTATGCTGCATATGAACAGAAATAGCATCGTTTTGGGTGCGGAGTAATGTGCACTAGAAATAGCATAGTTTTGGGTGTGGAGTGATGTGCAAGCGGTGTGGCATGCTCGCATGTAGTTCCTTTCCAAATAAAGTTGGTGCTTGTGCTGTGAAACATGCACCATTGATGTTCTGGATCTGTCAGTTGTTTAGTTGCCTTGACAACGGTGTTAGAATCATCTCCAAAACGTCGTTACAATTGTAAAAACAAGGTTGATAATAATGATTAGTAATTAGTAATTAGTAATTATTTAACATTTAAAGTTCGCCATTACTTTAATCAGATAATGCGCATGGCGCTTAATTTTTTAATCCGGACAACGGATCAGTGTGCAGTCAGATTTCAATCCTTACTCCCTGGGGGGTATACAATCTAAACTGCTTTATGAAGCGCCTCAAGATTTAGTTACATTATCATAGCATCCTCCCGGGTACCCATTTGTTGCTGAGTGACACCACCCGTAACATGGGCATATATTTTGTCATTACATTTATCTGTATTGTAGGTGAGGTGAGGTGAAATTGGGTTTAACGTCGCGTCCAAGATTATTGCACTTATATAGCGACGTGTGTGTGTGTGTGGCTGCTTGTACTAGTCCGGACTGATGCCGATTTATAGTGCTAGCTCACTGAGATACCATGCCGCAGTTTAACATGAATACCCCACTCAGACACAGTATGCTGACAACGAGCCGACCAGTCCTTTTGGTTAAGCCCCTTAATGTCGAGCGCCAGACAGGGTAACAACAAGTATCATCTTTTAACGTCTTTTGGTATGACGCGACTGGGGATCGAACCCTGGACCTTCCGCTCTCCGGGCGGACGCTCTACCACAAGACCACGGAGGCGGCCTATATTGTAGACAATAGCGTGGCAACATGAAACAATCACTTGAAATGATATAGTTTAAAGGGATATATCGTGTTAAGGAGTTCGGATTAAGGAGATTTAATTGTACAAGATGATTCTCGGTTTCAGGTGCACCCATGACAGCGGTGTCCTTCGGGAAATGCTCCAGTGTATGGCTGATTTCGAAGAGAAGGGAGGCATCCTCTCCCCCCTGGGTACCGTGCCGCTGTTGAAGTACCTGCTGAGAACTAGACGGGTACAGTGAGTGCGTGAGTGAGTTGGGTTTAACGCCGCTTTTAACAGTATTCCAGTTATATCACGGCGTGTCAGCTTAATGTGGGGGGAAAGCCTGAAGTGATGCAAGTCTCAGACGTTTACCACTTCGGTGAAACCCACGAGCACGGGTATGGTGCTGACAGACCAAGAAACATAATCGGGTCGAACCGGGATTCGAACCCACAATCATTGGTTTCTGGCGAGCCCAAGGGACGCAACTCTGTACAGCGAATGGCGGCGACTGTTCAAATGAAGATCTATAGATAGAGATTGATTTCTTTAAAACATGCTAAAATCGTGTTGAGAGAAACTGTTCCAAGAAGGTCAGCTCAGTTTGAAATCGCTGACAAACATCGATTTCTCGCTTGCCCAAGGGACGCAACTTTGCATAGCGAAATGCGGTGCCTTAGACGAGTGGGCCACCCGTGCACCCGAGACGGGTACAGGGAGTAGCTACTTGTTGTACACCTCGTCCTTTCATGCCCACCTTGAACAGCTGCAGCCCCATTTTTAAACTCCATTATAAACTATCCTCGCAAAACTATTTTCGCAAAAAATACCTAAAGGTAAGGAGACATGATTTACATGTGCGCATGCCCTAGAACCTCGTTAATCCGGACGGTAGCTTTCTCGTAGAAAGTGTCCGGATTAACGAGGTTCTGGGTTGACGAATATGCCTCCGGTTTAATGGCATTGTGTATGATATTATGTTTTAATAATTATGCCATTTGTAAAAGATTATCAAAACAAACATAACGACCGAGTGTTAATATTTCAGTATTTATTTGTTCTTACCTCAAGGTTTCGTTGCATTCTAAATCTGTTGCTATTTACATGTCATCTGTTAAGGACATTTAATACACATGGTGATCTACATTCTGTGATCCCTGTGGGTTCCAAGTTTACCTACGCTGATCGTAAGAGGCGACTGAATGGATCGGGTGGTCAGGCTCGGTGACTGGGTTGTAAGAGGCGACTTAAGGGATCGGATGGTCAGGTTCGGTGACTTGGTTGTAAGAGGGGACTTAATAGATCGGGTGATCAGGCTCGGTGACTTGGTTGTAAGAGGCGACTTAATAGATCGGGTGGTCAGGTTCGGTGACTTGGTTGTAAGAGGCGACTGAATAGATCGGGTGGTCAGGCTCGGTGACTTGGTTGTAAGCTAAGAGGCTACTAAATGGATCGGGTGGTCAGGCTCGGTGACTTGGTTGTAAGAGGCGACTTAATAGATCGGGTGGTCAGGCTCGGTGACTTGGTTGTAAGAGGCGACTTAATAGATCGGGTGGTCAGACTCGGTGACTTGGTTGTAAGAGGCGACTGAATAGATCGGGTGGTTAGGTGCGGTGACTTGGTTGTAAGAGGCGACTTAATAGATCGGGTGGTCAGGCTCGGTGACTTGGTTGTAAGCTAAGAGGCTACTAAATGGATCGGGTGGTCAGGCTCGGTGACTTGGTTGTGAGAGGCGACTTAATAGATCGGGTGGTCAGGCTCGGTGACTTGGTTGTAAGCTAAGAGGCTACTAAATGGATCGGGTGGTCAAGCTCGGTGACTTGGTTGTAAGAGGCGACAGAATAGATCGGGTGGTCAGGCTGGGTGACTGGGTTGTAAGAGGCGACTTAATTGATCGGGTAGTCAGGTTCAGTGACTTGGTTGTAAGAGGCGACTTAATAGATCGGGTGGTTAAACTCGACGACTTGGCTGTAAGAGGCTACTAAATAGATCAGGAGGTTAAACTCGACGACTTGGTTGTAAGAGGCTACTAAATGGATCGGGAGGTTAAACTCGACGACTTGGCAGTAAGAGGCTACTAAATGGATCGGATGGTTAAACTCGACGACTTGGTGTAAGAGGCTACTAAATGGATCGGGTGGTTAAACTCGACGACTTGGTTGTAAGAGGCTACTAAATGGATCGGGTGGCTAAACTCGACGACTTGGTTGTAAGAGGCTACTAAATGGATCGGATGGTTAAACTCGACGACTTGGTTGTAAGAGGCTACTAAATGGATCGGGTGGTTAAACTCGACGACTTGGTTGTAAGAGGCTACTAAATGGATCGGGAGGTTAAACTCGACGCCTTGGCGGTAAGAGGCTACTAAATGGATCGGGTGGTTAAACTCGACGACTTGGTTGTAAGAGGCTACTAAATGGATCGGGAGGTTAAACTCGACGACTTGGTTGTAAGAGGCTACTAAATGGATCGGGTGGTTAAACTCGACGACTTGGTTGTAAGAGGCTACTAAATGGATCGGGAGGTTAAACTCGACGACTTGGTTGTGAGAGGCGACATGGATGATTGATCGCATCGTACCCTGACGGCGTGGCTCGTTCACAACAGTAATGACTGGATTGTCTGACTCACACTCGATATTTTACAGGTCGCTGTGATATAGCTGGAATATTGCAGCGTTAAAAAGAACCAAACATCTCACAACAAACAAACATTAAACATAACGAGACCATAAAGATGAACCTTCAAAGCAGCTATATCGGGGACAGAGGCAGAGAAACTATTTTTATAAATGTGATGACATCACAACAGTAGGGGGAAGATGTGTATCTGTGGGCTTTTGCAGACATGTCTATTTTTATCTGCAAAGGCTATTGCGTGTATTCGATCCCGCATGTTCTATGTGAAGGATGTTCTATATAAACAGTAAGCAGAATGCCTGGCCTCGTGGATTCCTGTTTAATGTGCATCGCGTTGTTTTTTTCCCATTTTAAACTGACTGTTAAACGAGAACGCCTACATGCATACGTTACACGGAATGTGTACTATAGGGCTTACTAATATGTATTATCCCTGACTTTATCAGGGATTCTGTGAAATACTGGAGAGAGAGAGAGAGAGGGAGAGAGGGAGGGAGAGGGAGAGAGGGAGGTAGAGGGAGAGAGAGAGGGTGAGAGAGAGAGCAGAGAGAGAGCGAGGGAGAGAGAGAGAGGGAGAGAGCGAGGGAGAGGGAGTGAGAGAGGGAGAGGGAGAGTGGGAGTGAGGGAGAGAGCGAAGGAGAGGGAGAGAGAGAGGGTGAGAGAGAGGGAAAGAGAGAGCGAGGGAGAGAGCGAGGGAGAGGGAGTGAGAGAGGAAGAGAGAGAATGAGAGAGGGAGACGGCGAGAGAGAGGGAGGAGAGAGAGAGGGAGGAGAGAGAGAGGGAGAGAGAAAGGGAGAGTGGGAGAGAGCAAGGGAGAGAGAGTGGGAGAGAGGGTGAGAGAGAGGGAGAGAGAGAGCAAGGGAGGGAGTGAGGGAGAGGGAGTGAGAGAGGGAGAGAGAGAATGAGAGAGGGAGAGGGCGAGCGAGAGGGAGGAGAGAGAGAGGGGAGAGAGAGGGAGAGAGAGAAAGGGAGAGAGGGAGAGAGCGAGAGAGAGGGTGAGAGAGAGGGAGAGAGAGAGCGAGGGAGAGGGAGAGGGTGAGAGAGAGGGAGAGAGAGAGCGAGGGAGAGAGCGAGGGAGAGAGCGAGGGAGAGGGAGAGAGAGGGAGAGAGAGAATGAGAGAGGGAGAGGGCGAGAGAGAGGGAGGAGGGAGAGGGGGAGAGAGAGAGGGAGAGAGAGAAAGGGAGAGGGAGAGGGCGAGAGAGAGGGAGGAGGGAGAGGGAGAGAGAGAGCGAGGGAGAGAGAGAGGGTGAGAGAGAGGGAGAGAGAGAGCGAGGGAGAGAGAGAGGGTGAGAGAGAGGGAGAGAGAGAGCGAGGGAGAGAGCGAGGGAGAGGGAGAGAGAGGGAGAGAGAGAATGAGAGAGGGAGAGGGCGAGAGAGAGGGAGGAGGGAGAGGGGGAGAGAGAGAGGGAGAGAGAGAAAGGGAGAGTGGGAGAGAGGGAGAGAGCGAGGGAGAGGGAGAGAGAGTGGGAGAGCGAGGGAGAGGGAGTGAGAGAGAGGGAGAGGGAGATAGAGAGCGAGGGAGAGGGAGAGAGAGGGAGAGAGAGAGGGAGAAAGAGAGTGAGAGGGAGGGAGAGAGAGAGAGTGAGAGAGAGAGAGGGAGAGACAAAGAGAGAGATAGGGAATAGAGAAACAGAGAAAGAGAAAGAGAGAATAATTTATTTGAGAATTCAATGTCGTTGTTTCGTCACATTGGCTCACTTCGCAATGAGTATATAACTTTCGTGATAACGGTGTTATAATCTACACAAAAAACACAGCCACAATGACGACGTGGGGAAGGAAGGAGGGAGGGGGGGGGGGGGGAGAGAAATGGGAGGGAGGGGCCGTGAGGGAGACAAATCTGGAGGGATTTACTGAGATTTTGGGAGTATTCGATAGGGAGAGCAGGAGGGAGCTAGAGAGAAGGAGGGGGATCCTATGATGGACAACAGAGAGGCAAACAGGAAGAAGAGAAGGAGCAGGAGGTTAACACTATTCTATTTTACAAATCACATGCATTTTCAAAACTAGGCATACACGCTCAGCTATATCAACATGTACTATCAGATGCAGATGATTTATGTCGAGTAATGTAAACAAAGGATCAATGTGGTCACTATCATATTTCAGTCTTACAAAATATTAACTGGAGTTTACACTGGACTCCAGACACTGATGATGTCTGAGCTCAACGCCAGGAAACCAAACTACAACGAGAAGCACATAGGGTCGGTCATCGACGCCTTCATCAAGGATCAAAGAGAAAACCCAGATGAACCTTCATATTCAGGTAACAATGAACCCCGCTTACATATAAGATACATTTCTAATGGTCCCCGCTCGAATTACAGAACTGTTGGTATAATATTACATTATTTTGCAACATAAATGCCGCAATTTTGTATCTCGAATTAATGATGTTAGGCGCAATTCTCCGGATACCTACGATATTTTCCGGATGAAATTGATCTTGGCATTCGTCACCACTCGTCCCTTTCCGCAAATTGCAAGTATACTCGTCCCCCTATCGATAAAAATGTAACGTGCGAAAATACGACAAACCAATCAGAATGCGTGCAATCAAATACTTCGGTCAAAGAATCCCTCATGAAAATGTTTTGATTTTACTTATGGCTTGTATCTAAAAAATATACCCACGATACAGTTAAATGTGTTCAATCATACTCACGTCATAATACCGATGTGTTTTAAATAGCATCTGCATATCTATGATAAACGTAAATCATTACGTAACGAGTTGACAATTCTTTTACATGTATAGCTGTGCCCGTTTGCGTATCGAACCCAGTCGCAAAAATGGCCACAAGAGGGGCACGAGTCGTTATTCGGCTTATCCCGGAACGACATGGGTTGGTCACGAATGATATCTAGGGGGAATAACTCTGTGTTTCTTCTGTATTCTTACCGATCCGGATCAGAGCAGAGATGCATCAGACATACCTGCAATATGTGCGGTAGGATAATTCATTGTCGACCTGCCCCTCGCGATCGGGGGACATTATAGGTGAGGTGATGTGAAATTGGGTTTAACGTCGCGTCCAAGATTATTGCACTTATATAGCGACGTGCATGCACGTGCATGTGTGTGTGTGGCTGCTTGTACTAGTCCGGACTGATGCCGATTTATAGTGCTAGCTCACTGAGATACCATGCCGCAGTTTAACATGAATACCCCACTCAGACACAGTATACTGACTCCGAGCCGACCAGTCCTTGTTTTAGCTCCTTAATGCCGAGCGCCAGACAGGGTAACAACAAGTACCATCTTTTAACGTCTTTTTGTATGACGCGGCCCGGGATCGAACCCTGGACCTTCCGCTCTCCGGGCGGACGCTCTACCACAAGACTACGGAGGCGGTCTAGGGGGGACATTATAAGTTGTCCACGGATTTCGAGGGGACATGGGTTGATGAACCCTATGTGCTACATATACTTACGAAGAGGGTACCTCAATCGATGTCCCCCTCGCGGCCGCGGGGTCCTACTATAGCAACTAAGACGTAATAAGCGCCCAGTGCGCTCTCAAAATTAGAAATAGGGGGCTCTTATTAGAATATTATTTGGGTGAAAAAAACAGAGTTGAAAGATAAATTTCGTGGTTTATGCTGACAGCCTGAAATGTTTATAAACGACAGAAATATTATTCCAGAATTTAATTGCCCATTTATTAAGGGTGAATATAACACACAAGTGCGTATTATACGCGAATAAATAAGTCTTGTGTACATTGATCAATCGGAAGAGGTGCTAATTGGGATTGTTCACTTGTCAAAAATTTAGCAAATATCGCCTTTGGCGCTTATTAGAGCGGGGCGCTTATTACGTCGAATACGGTACTGTAAAAGTGGACCTCATAAATCCGCCAACGCCTACATATATATTTTACATGGAATATGACGGTAACATGTGTAATCTCTGAAATGTCCACGGACTCTGTGTAATGGCTGTTTCATATGGGGAATATATATGATTGTACCTATTCCCTGAAAGGCCAACACTCCATTACGATGATGCGTCATTCATATGTTTGTTACCTTCCTCGTCTTGTTTAATATATTACTTTCACTCCATGGCGCGATTCTACCAGGGTGAATTCACCGACCTAAGTCAATGTGTGTATAAGATGAATGAGTGAGTGAGTGAGTTGGGTTTAACGCCGCTTTTAACAGTATTCCAGTTATATCACGGCGTGTCAGCTTAATGTTGGAGGAAACAAACAAACGAGATAGTGATAGGAACAAATGATGTGTGGTTATTGTAAAGTTACTAGTGTTTGACAGATGATGAAGTTGCTGTGTGTCTGGAGGAGTGTATCACTGGGGGAATTGCTTCTGTTGCACTGACAGTCGACTGGGCCCTGCTCTTCATGCTGGAGCACCAGGATGTACAGACAGCGTGTCAACAGGAGATAGACAAGGTGAGGGTGGACGTATGGAGTGAGTGAGTGAGTGAGTTAGGTATAACGTCGTTTTAAACGGCAGTTATATCACGGCATGTCAGCTTGATATTGTGCAGGTCTACGATGTTTACCGTTTTAATGAAATGCAGAGAGGAGAGGAAGAGCTATGTTGGAATTATTTCGCTGTATGGTTTTGTCACCTTGACAGAGAGTGTAGGAGGGTGGGGCACGGAGAGGAACATAGTTGGACAGAAAGAGTGACAGAATGGGGACGGATATATAGAGAGAGGGCGACAGAGCTAGAGAGAGATAGAGACAATGCGTGACAGAGGAAGAGAGAGAGAGAGAGAGCGAGAGGGGGGAGAGAGAGAGATGAGGGGAGAGGGATAGACAGAGACAGTGATAGAGAGTGACAGGTCGGGACAGACATGGAGAGGGCTAGATAGAGAAACAGTGATACAGTGTGACACAGAGAGGGAGGGGGCTAGAGACAGGGAGACAGTGACAAGGTGTGACAGAGAGGGTTGGGACGCAGAGAGAGAGATTGGGCTAGAAAGAGGGACAGTGATAGAGTGTGACAGAAAGGGTGAGACAGAGAGGGAGGGGGCTAGAGAGTGAAACAGTGATAGAGTGTGACAGAAAGGGTGAGATAGAGAGGGAAAGGGCTAGAGAGTGAAACAGTGATAGAGTGTGACAGAAAGGGTGAGATAAAGGGGGAGAGGGCTAGAGAGTGAAACAGTGATAGAGTGTGACAGAAAGGGTGAGATAGAGAGGGAGAGGGCTAGAGAGTGACACAGTGATAGAGTGTGACAGAAAGGGTGAGACAGAGAAGGAGAGGGCTAGAGAGTGACACAGTGATAGAGCGTGACAGAAAGGATGAGATAGAGAGGGAAAGGGCTAGAGAGTGAAACAGTGATAGAGTGTGACAGAAAGGGTGTGATAGAGGGGGAGAGGACTAGAGAGTGAAACAGTGATAGAGTGTGACAGAAAGGGTGAGATAGAGAAGGAGAGGACTAGAGAGTGAAACAGTGGTAGAGTGTGACAGAAAGGGTGAGACAGAGAGGGAGAGGGCTAGAGAGTGACACAGTGATAGAGTGTGACAGAAAGGGTGAGACAGAGAGGGAGAGGGCTAGAGAGTGAAACAGTGATAGAGTGTGACAGAAAGGGTGTGATAGAGGGGGAGAGGACTAGAGAGTGAAACAGTGATAGAGTGTGACAGAAAGGGTGTGATAGAGAGGGAGAGGGCTAGAGAGTGACACAGTGGTAGAGTGTGACAGAAAGGGAGAGGGCTAGAGAGTGAAACAGTGATAGAGTGTGACAGATAGGGTGAGATAGAGGGGGAGAGGGCTAGAGAGTGAAACAGTGGTAGAGTGTGACAGAAAGGGTGAGACAGAGAGGGAGAGGGCTAGAGAGGGAAACAGTGGTAGAGTGTGACAGAAAGGGTGAGTTTGAGAGGGAGAGGGCTAGAGAGTGAAACAGTGATAGAGTGTGACAGAAAGGATGAGATAGAGAGGGAGAGGGCTAGAGAGTGAAACACTGGTAGAGTGTGACAGAAAGGGTGAGACAGAGAGGGAGAGGACTAGAGAGTGACACAGTGGTAGAGTGTGACAGATAGGGTGAGATAGAGAGGGAGAGGGCTAGAGAGTGAAACAGTGGTAGGGTGTGACAGAAAGGGTGTGATAGAGGGGGAGAGGACTAGAGAGCAAGAGACAGGGTGAGAGAGCTTGACAGAGTCAGTGATATAATGCATGACCTAGATTCCTTTTCATTGTGGAAATGTATTTCGTCGCTTTTGATAAAAGTAGAACAGCAACAATGCCAGCAATCAGAGCGAGACTTAAAGCTCAGCTGTTATGGAAATATGTGTTGTCCAACACGGAAGTATACAACTGGTGTCAACACAGTCAGAAGCACATGTACATGTTGGCGTTTCACTGTTGGGTATTTGTTCTTTAGGTCTGCGGCAAGTCACGACAAGTCAAGTTTTCTGACGTAGACAAATTACCCTATGTGTGTGCTACTGTGTTTGAGGTTCAGCGACTCGCCAGTGTTGGTAGGTTAAAATATAAGGATACCTTAACGCTACATACTCAATGTATGCATTATCGAAATATTGGCATCGTATTATCACTATTTTTATAATGTATGCGGTTTCATCATATTGGCACTGTATGCAGTATCACTATTTTTGTACTCTATGCATTATCACTATTTTTGTAATGTATGCAGTATCACTATTTTTGTAATGTATGGGGTATCATCATATTTGCACTATAAGCGTTAACACTATTTTTGTAATGTATGCGGTATCATTATATTTGTACCGTATGCGTTATCACTATTTTTTTCACTATGAGCGCTATCACTATTTTTGTAATGTATGCAGTATCATCATATTTGCACCAGATGCCTTGTCACTAATTTTGTACTACATGCGTTATCACTATTTTTGTAATGTATGCGGTATAATCATATTTGCACCGGATGCTTTGTCACTATTTTTTCACAATATGCGTATCACAACTTTTGTAATGTACGTGGTATCATCATATTTGCACTGTATGCGTTGTCACTATTTTGGCACTATAAGCGTTCTCACCATTTTGTAATGTGTGCGGTATCATCATATCTGCACCGTGTGCGTTATCATTATTTTTGCACTATAAGCGTTATCACTATTTTTTAATGTGTGCGGAATCATCATATTGTCATCATGCCTTGTCACTCTTTTGCCACTATAAGCGTTATCACTTTTTTTTGTAATTTATGCAGTATCATCATATTTGCACTGTATGCGTTGTCACTATTTTGGCACTATAAGCGTTATCACTATTTTTGTAATGTGTGCGGTATATTCATATTTGCACCGTGTGCCTTATCATTATTTTTGCACTATAAGCGTTAACACTATTTTTGTAATGTGTGCGGTATCATCATATCTGCACCGTGTGCGTTATCATTATTTTTGCACTATAAGCGTTATCACTATTTTTTAATGTGTGCGGAATCATCATATTGTCATCATGCCTTGTCACTCTTTTGCCACTATAAGCGTTGTCACTTTTTTTTGTAATTTATGCAGTATCATCATATTTGCACTGTATGCGTTGTCACTATTTTGGCACTATAAGCGTTATCACTATTTTTGTAATGTGTGCGGTATATTCATATTTGCACCGTGTGCCTTATCATTATTTTTGCACTATAAGCGTTAACACTATTTTTGTAATGTGTGCGGAATCATCATATTGGCACTGTATGCGTTGTCACTATTTTGGCACTATAATCATTGTCACTATTTTTGCGGTATCGCAATATTTGCAATGTATGTGTTATCACTATATACACTTGCAGTGTATTCTCTCTTGACTCCGCAGTTCCCGTCTCCCTGCCCCACTGTACTGTGAACGACATGGACATCCGAGGATTCCATATTCCAAAAGGAACCATCGTATTTTCCAATATTACTTCCTCTAACATGGACGATGCTTACTGGGAGAATGCCCAGCTGTTCGACCCGACACGTTTCCTTGATGATCAGCATGCTACAATCAAGATACCCCCAGCGTTCATGCCGTTTAGCATAGGTAGATATCAGAGAGAGTGAGTGAGTGAGTATGGTTTTACGCCGCTTTTAGCAATATTCCAGCCATATCACGGCGGGGGGACACCAGAAATGGGCTTCACACATTGTATCCATGTCGGGAATCGAACCCGGGTCTTCGGCGTGACGAGCGAACGCTTTAACCACTAGGCTACCCGACCGCCCCCTATCAGAGAGAGAGATGAGTGATCGTTGTTTCGTAACCCAGTCATCAATATCCTGTCAATAAGCCGTCACCAGTGATGTAGCATGAACAACGACCTACGACATCGGGGTACGATGTCACAAAGTCAATCAGATCACACGTGAACTATCCAATCCTCATATGTCAGCTCCGACGGCACCCTATTGATCCCTGTAACAAGCGCGGGTATATAATAGGTGAGGTGAGGTGAAATGGGGTTTAACGTCGCGTCCGAGATTATTGCACTTATATAGCGACGTGCATGCACGTGTATGTGGGTGTGGCTGCTTGTACTAGTCCGGACTGATGCCGATTTATAGTGTTAGCACACTGAGATACCATGCCGCAGTTTAACATGAATACCCCACTCAGACACAGTATACTGACTCCGAGCCGACCGGTCCTTGTTTGAGCCCCTTTAATGCCGAGCGCCAGACGGGGTAGCAACAAGTACCATCTTTTAACGTCATTTGGTATGACGTGTTTGGGGATCGATCCCCGGACCTTCCGCTCTCCAGGCGGACGCTCTACAATTAGACCACGGAGGCGGTCTGGGTATATTTTAGCGGTTTAGAGTTATTAAAGAACGGTATTCATGTTTATTCTTAATTTTCTCAATAATGTAATAGGTCAAAAATTAGAATCCCTTTGAAAATATTACTTAATTACATGTAATGTAAACACAGGCTATTTTGGTTAATTCCTTAGTTATGGTAGGGTCAATTTATCTTATATTATGTGATTCCTTTTCACAATCGTAACTCTTATTTACATAGTTTAGCATTACATGTAGCAACATGTAATTGTAGCGTATTTAGAGAATAACCGACGAACTACGAGCAGCTACGGATTATCTGTCGCGATTGAACTAATGTTGTATGTTCCGAGTCACGGGGATGTAGGCAATGTCGAAAAATACAATTTAGTTGAGTTGGTGTGTTTATTATATATTTCAGTTTGAAAGACTCAGTTTTCTGAAGTTGAGAAAAGTGATATTTATACTGTAGTGAACATAACACTTGATATTTCACTGCAGTGAACATAAAACTGACGGAACTATTTGCGATACAAGAATTACCTCCCTTTAAATTGTCTCCCTTTATCGTAACATTCGTGACCAACTCGTGTTATTCCGGAACAAGTCTTCTTGCAGGTTACGGAAAGGGGCGAGTGGTGACGAATGTTATCGTAAGTGTCAAACCCGAACACAAACTGTTGGCGTTTTTTTCACATTAGTTAAACATTGGCAACACAAAATGTTGACAGATGGTCATTATGGAGTTTATATCACTTCTTGTCGGGGTTTTTATTCTCTCAAAAGTGTTTCGTTGTCAACTGTAAAATTCTCATTTTACTCGTCAATCGAGACTGTTCGTTTCTCAAAGCGCCATTTTTGTTACTTGACCATATTGTATTCTTTCGCTTCCAACAGCGGTCTTCTAGTTTTCAAGAATATTTTTGTTAAAGTTGATGTTGTATATAATCATATTTAAATGTACGATAAAGAATTTTGTTTATATTGTTTAAGATTGTGCAAACACGGAACTACCTTTTAAGTCGCAAGTACAAGGGGTGGTGAACCGTCCCTGTGTGTACGGTAGGGAGAATTTACGTTTCAAGGTTTTACGTTGAAATAATTCATTTTCCGGTAGACACCAACACAAAGAGTATATTATAAATAGGATAATTCATATATCTCGTGAAATATCATGTTTTTCTCACTTGTGAAAATATCTCCCTCGATGAGAGAAAAACATGATATGTTTCACACGACACTTGGAATATTCTATTTATTATATACTTTTTGTGTAGTTTTAATTTCTACAGGAAAATTATTATTTTTCATTAAAAATGTAAAACCTTGAAATGTAAATTCTCCCGACGTAACATGCAGGGACGTTTCAACATCGCTTATCATTCGTCACCACTCGCCCCTTTCCGTAACCTGCAAGAAGACTCGTCCCCCTATCGATGAATGTTATGTGCGAAAATACGACAAACCAATCAGAATGCGCGTATGATTTTAAGTTCTTCGTCAAAGAATCCCTCAGAAATAATTTTTGATTTTAAATATGTCTTGCATCTAAAATATACCCAAGACACAGTTAAATGTGTTCAATAATACTGTATAATTCCGCACGTCCCAATGTGCTTTAAATTGCATCTGAAATATATATAATATATGTGGAAATAACATTCGAACCATTACGCAACGAGTTGACAATTGTTTTGGGTATTCGGCTTGTCCCGGAATAACACGAGTTGGTCACGAATGATCCCTTATAACTGCAACTTAAAAAGTAGTTCCAAAATCGTTTATGACGTCATGAACAATGGATGACATCATCTTCAATTATGTGCGACAATGCGTTCATATGACGTCACGTTGCTATGGACCTCTTCGCAAACTATGAACACGATAGAACAATCGAGACGAACTAATCACCATTAAGCAAACATTATATGGCCAGAGATAATTATTGAACATAAATCATGCCCAGGTGGTCACTTTTATATCAGATATCTTAATTGCGCGATTACTCCTCATACATTTCAGGAACACGAAAATGCCCCGGTTACACGATTGCTGAAAAGGAAGTAATTGTCATCTTCTCAAACCTGGTCCACACCTTGACCTTCTCCAGCATTGGCAAGGTCAACTACGGCGGAACAAGCATTGTCAACATACGCCCGACAGAGAATTTCATGGTTGCATCTCGGAGGCAAAATACATGAGGACAGTTACCCCAACGACTGGAACCAGACCAAGCGACGGTAGTACGAGCGTATTAATACATATTGGATGTGTAATATAGTTCATGAATGTGTTTGACAAGTTCAAACACTGTAACACTCTATTTTAATAAACGCCCAACTAATAACCCCACCGAGGTAAAAACTACGGATATATATATTTAACAGAGGTTAAATTGTTTTGTACTTTTGACACATGTTAACGTGTTTTTTTCAGATGACCAATTTACCTTCTTTGTCTGTTTATTGCGGGTGCCACCATTGGCAGGATACGCTCACCTTTTCGCGAACACCTGGTATCATCACTACTAGAGAGGGATTCATAAACACATGCTCATGACAGTCGGAATCGTACAATACTAGTTCAGACGTCTTCAAAAATATGAGGGTACCTACCCCCTACCCCCCCCCCCCCCCCCCCAACACACACACACCCCCACCCCACCCCCCCACCCCCACACACACAGACACACACACCCCACTTCTAGGTATCTGGCACACCACTTAATTATTTGTCTTGGCATCCAAGTTAAGATCTCTTGAGTCATACCAGTGTACACAGCATTTCCAAGTAAGTTAGATTCGGAATTGAATGAATGCATGACTATGCAAGCTTATAAGCGTCAGCGACAAACCTTTTTTAATAATCAAGACTAATATTTACTGAAGGCAGACTCTATGGTACGATTCCGAATACATGTATGTCAGAAGCATGTCTTTGTGAATCACTATCTAATAGTGACACATTTAATTGAACAAAATACACCCCTCAAATTGTGACATTGTTTTGGAAACTCAGAATGAGTTATCTGGTGGGGTATCCGGTGCCGGATCCTTTGACACCCAGATTGAGGTATCCGGTGAGGTGTCCAATGCCGGATACCGCGGATCTGGTATTCGGCAAGGTATCTGCCACCAGATACCAGGATGCGTTTTGGGTAAGTGTCCGGAGGTTTTCGGAAAGGATCCGGATACCGGAAACTGCATTTTATTTGCTGTGAATGTAAAGTTTTAACGCATCAGCTTGTTCACCGGGATATTTACCAACTGCTATACATGCAAATAACATATGAGACAGGTTGACATTGTACAATGCGATCTTAGTGCTAAGGTTCCTAAACCTCCGTACCTAAACACAGACTTACGACAGTGGTAGTGCTAAGGTTGTTTTGTACAACGGCGCCCTGGTTAGGCTTAGTCAGGCGTCTGTGTTAGGATTAGAAAACTAGGCTTACATCATGGGTAATGTGTGTACATTAAACAACGATATGAAATAAATGATTCAAGAATAAGAACATTTGCTTGTATTACTTTAGTATTTGTAGTCAACGGCTTGACCATGGGGATTATGTGAAAGAACAGGTTCCAGGGAACCTAGGCTTGTTCTGAGAGTGACTAAAATGGAACCCGTGAAGATCCGGGTAGAAGAGGTCTTCATGATCAGCAACCGATGCTTGCCGTAAATGGCGACTATGCTTGTCGTAAGAGGCGACTAACGGGATCGGGTGGTCAGGCTCGCTGACTTGGTTGATGCATGTAATCGATCCGAATTGCGTAGATCGGTGCTCATGATGTCAATCACTTGATTGTCCGATCCAGACTGGATTATTTACAAACCGCCGTCATATAGCTGGAATATTGCTGAGTGCGGCATTAAATAGTAAACAAAACAAACAAAATTAATTTTTACATACGATTAGCATACGATTCAACTACAACTACTACTTCTACTGCTACCTGCACTACCACTTCCACTGCTACTACTACTACTACAACGACTACTACTACTAAATTGGCCCGTGAAGATCCGGGTCAGAATAGGTCTTCAGCAACCCATGCTTGCCGTAAAAGGCGTCTGTGCTTGTCGTAAGAGGCGACTAACGGGATCGAGTAGTCAGGCTCGCTGACGTGGTTGATGCATGTCATCGATCCCAAATGCGTGGGTTGGTGCTCATGATGTCAATCACTGGATTGTCTAGTCCAGACTCGATTATTTACAGATCGCCGTCATGTAGCTGGAATATTGCTGAGTTAGGCGTTAAACAAAAAACAAACAAACAAACAAAAGTTAGGAAGGACTTGTGCATTATGCTGCTTTCAACAAACTCAGTACTTTGGTGAACCCACGAACACACTAATAGTGCGGACAAATGACAAACCAAGGATCGTTAGCATGGGTCTCTGTATCCCTATGTATGAAACCTGAATTATATATTTATATATCAGTTCACAAAAAAAGAAATTAAAACAGATAGTAGCGTAAAAATATATAACTGTTACCTTTTATAAAGATAAAAGCCACAAAACGCTTTCCACAATAATAAGAAATATCTTCGGCATAAAGTAGTCCATTGCAGGACATGACACACATGGCATGACAATGATGCACATGACATGACAATGACGCGAACGCCATGGCAGGAACCCACACGCCATGACGGACGCACGCGCAATGGCAATGACGGACATGTGACAATGACGTACACGCCAGGTCAAAATTGTGAAGACAAAAATTTCTGTGACATTTCAGAAGGGTTAACGTGAAGGTTGTACCCCGAAGCACATCTTCCCGAGGCAAGAGAGTTAACTGGCTTTAAAAGTCCAGTTTCCACCCTTGCCGAACTAGGTTGGAATTCCTGGGCTCGATCGGAGAGCGCCACCAGTGGCTATTACGAGTTATGTCCCGTCTATGCCTCTCCTATGGACCAATCAGATTCCACATCTCGTATCACTTGCATTTGCTTCAAACAAAACGGCGGCGCACTGTCAAGACAATCTGATCGATAATCAAGATCTATATTGTGATAAAACGAGTCTTACATCCCAAAATGCATCAAATCACGTGAGCACCTTGATTAAAAACATGAAAAGATTTAGAAAATATCTGTTGACAACGAGTTAGCGGTGCACATGCTTTGCAAATCCTGCAATCGAACGAAATCTGCTTGACAGTTTACGAACCGGATTTCGATTTCGGTGCGCGATTTTGATTGGACTATGCATAGACTCGTTAGTCCAGCCAAAATGTAACTCCATAATACCAGCCTAATTCGGCAAGGGTGGAAACTGGACTTTTAAAGTCAGTTAACTCTCTTGCCTCGGGAAGATGCCCCGAGCATGGGATGACGGCACATGTAAAACAATGTGATTTAGACTTAAGTCTTCCAAATTATAAACTCGGAAAATGATCACTGGTATAACAAGAAATAAACGACGGATTGGAGTTGTTTATCGTACAATAAAACACTCCACGGTGAAAAGAAAACATGAAGGGCGCAACCCCAGGTTGTTTATGCTCTCTGCAGTGGCTAATTGTACGATAAACAACGACCACAAGTTCTGGAATGTATTGGAAGGTGTGGTCGGGGTCGTGCGGCTTCTAACCGTTTGGAGGACAGAGAGCGAAACCCCTCTAACCTGGAATCGTCTACTCCGGACGATTACTGTAGGGTCCGTATCTGTAAATATCAGCCATAAGGGTAGAATGATCAGGATATAGCTTTCCGATATTGGCATTTAGCGATTCTCAATGCTGATTGGTTAATGTAAGCCATATGACGTCATAGTGTTTAAATATACGATATGACGTCATCCAGGGTTCATGACGTCATAATGTGATGATATTACGTCACCTCGTGACATTTTTTCTGTAGGGTTGACATTGCATACATTGTCTGCTTTATTTTCTCTCTTAAAATATCAGGGGGCACGGGTGCCTCATTCGTCTTAGGCGCGGCATTTCGCGGTGCAGGGTTGCGTCCCTTGGGCAGGCCAGAAACCTATGGTCGTGGGTTCCATTCATGCCCGATTATGTTTCTAGGTTTGTCAGCACCATATCCGTGCTCGTGGGTCTCACCAAAGTGGTGACGGTTTATACCTGCATCACTTCGGGCTTTCCTCCCACATTAAGCTGACACGCCGTAACTAGAATACTGTAAACAGTTCAAAGCGGCGGTTAACCCAACTCGCTCACCCAATAACTCACTCTCACAATGTCAATGCGTAATAAACAGAATAACCTACTCCAGACTCGGAATTATGGCTTATTTGTTTGTTGTGATCCAAAGGCTCGGGATTAACACTAATGGTATTCATTCTCCCGGGAAAGATAATCCATAATTCCTCGTAGCTCGCTGGTTATATATATATGTATTCTCTAATTATACAGTTTGAGACTTCTTTCAAGGATCTCTGATCCGGAAATTCGCTAAACCAAACGATTTCACTATGACAGTACCGTACGCATTACCGGGGTTGCGCCGTGTCGACAAACAAGTGACGCTGCTGCATCGTACGCAAATGGGAGGGACCGTTACTCACATTATTAATCACCGAACTGTCTGGTCCAGACTCGATTATTTACAGACCGCCTTTATGGCTGGAATATTGCTGAGCGCAGCGTTAAACACTTCACACTAATACATCAGCATGCTCATCCTCACTTTCACCAGTCATCCTCCTCATCACAATTGACAAAAAAGCTGAAAGTGAAGTAGATGTGTGGAAGCTAAATATATTATTTATTTCCAAAGACACTACAGGACGACATTTCCCATGCACACTTTACACTGTATGACACTGAATGACACGGCATGATGCTGTTCACACTAACACATACTCTATAACCACATAATTAGTGAAGCGTACACTTTAACAATATAATCAATGAAGCACACACTTTAACAATATAACCAATGAAGCATACACTTTAACAATGTAATCAATGAAGCATACACTTTAACAATGTAATCAGTGAAGCATACACTTTAACAATATAATCAGTGAAGCATACACTTTAACAATATATTCATTGAAGCATAGTTATTACACTTTAACATTGTAATCAGTGAAGCATACCCACCTTCAGACCAGGGCACCGCTTCACAAACCGATCTTACTGCTCCACATACGATTGTTCTATGTTTAGGAATCAAGTTTAGCATTAAGATCGCTTTGTGGTGCGGTTTCCATATTTCCGACTTGCATATTTCAGACAAAGGTTGTCATGAAGAGATTGCTACAAAAATGATTGCTTGATTGCTACAATACAGGGCGGTCGGGTAGCCTAGTGGTTAAAGCGTTCGCTCGTCACGTCGAAGACCCGGGTTCGATTCCCGACATGGGTACAATGTGTGAAGCCCATTTCTGGTGTCCCCCGTCGTGATATTGCTGGAATATTGCTAAAAGCGGCGTAAAATCATACTCACTCACTGCTACAATACAAGACTGTGCCACATCGCCCTCAATATCCCGAGGCAAGATAGTTAACTGACTACAAAAGAACAGTTCCAATCCTTGCCGAACTAGGATGGAATTCCCGAGCTACATTTTGGCTGGATTAACGAGTCTATGCATAGTGAAATCAAAATCGCGTAACGAACTGGACATCCGGTTTGTAACCAACACGGATTGCAATGTGCAGATTTCGGTCGACTGCAGGCTTGGCAACGCATGTGTACCGCTAACTGGGCGTCGACAGATATTTTTTGCAAATCTTTTCCTGTTTTTTACATCAATGTGCTCAAGTGATTTGATGCACTTTGCGGGGTAAGGCCCGTTTTATTACAACATAGGTGTTGATTATCGATCAGATCGTTTAGACTGGGTGCCGCCATTTTGTTTGAAGCAAATGGAAGTGATATGAGAAGTGGAACCTGATTGGACAATAGGGGAGACATAGAAGGGACATAAACTCGTAATAGCCACTGGTGGCGCTACGATCGAGCCTGGAAATTCCAGCCTAGTTCGGCAAGGGTGGAAACTGGACTTTATAGTCAGTTAAAGCCCCCGCCTCGGGAAAATGCATCGCCCTGTGTACGTGTCCCCTTGGATAGGGTATATTGTTGGTCTTCTCATTGGCAATGTGGCCTCTAGGCTCTCTTACGCACAGTGATGTTGTTTTCGGGCGGACGGACGCCAGCCACTGTACCTATCCCGTCATAGACCATGGTATTTTCGCAGGAAAATGTAAATTCCTTGAGAAGACTTGCGAACATCATCACGACTTCCCTTTCAGCAATAGCTGAGCCGGCGCACTTCCTCGGTCCTGAAATATGGGTAAATCATTGTGATACTATAATATATCATAAACTTGAAACATACTGGGCTTAAGAACTGACACTCGGAGACGAATTAAAATTCAAAAACATGACGTATTTGCCTTTATGTAGTTGTAACAACAGTAAAAACCTATGTCATTTTGATTTTGTTTACCCTTTTATTGAACACATCAGGGGGCCATATCAAGTCACGCGCATGACGTGTTATATCATCTGATATTACTCTTCATTTCTGCATTAAAAGGTTGAACCTGGGACCAAAAGTAAATATGTATATATTCCACCTAATATATTTTTCTTGCTCTTATATTAGATGTGGCGAAGTAAAATGGGGTTTAACGTCGCGTCCAAGATTTTTACACCGATATAGCGACGTGCATGCCCGTGTGTGTGTGGCTGCTTGTACTATTCCGGACTGATGCCGATTTATAGTGCCAGCCCCCAGATATTCCATGCCAGTCTTACACGAATACCCCACTCAGACACAGTCTACTGACTCCGAGCCGACCAGTCCTTGTTTTAGCCCCTTAATGCCGAGTGCCAGACAGGATAACAACAAGTACCATCTTTTAACGTCTTTTGGTATTACGCGACCGGGGATCGAACCCCGGACCTTCCGCTATCCGGGCGGACGCTCTACCACTAGACCACGGAGGCAGTCTCTTATTTTGGAAATTGAAACAGATAAAATACTTGTTAAATGTCAGTCTACACAGATAAAGGGGAGGGGGAAGAGAATTTTACCTATTCCAAATGGCATAAATGCGGGAGGAATTTTGACCATGCCGCCATCTAGGAACCGCGAAGGATCAAAGTCTTGCGGGTTTTTCCACTGGGTCTCGTCCATGTGGGCCGATCTAATATGGGTAGCGATGATTGTCTGTCCTGGAATATGGAAACCATTCAGGGTCATATCCCCCCTAGTGAGATGAGGTGCAGAGATGGGAACTGGAATGGAGAGAGAACCGTAACATTAAATTTTATTTTTGCTATGACAAATCTTAGAAAACGTTTCCAACTGACACATTTCAATTGGCCTATTATTATTATTATTTTATTTTGTGTTTCGGAACATTCAATAATACTGGAGTGAGTGTGAGTGAGTTTGGTTTTACGCCGCTTTTAGCAATATTCCAGCAATATCACGGCGGGGGACATAAGAAATGGGCTTCACACATTGTACCCATGTCGGGAATCGAACCCGGGTCTTCGGCGTGACGAGCGAACGCTTTAACCACTAGGCTACCCGACCGCCCCCCAATAATACTTGAAACTTGTGGTAACCGACTTCCTTTTCAAATGCGAAATGCATACATATACATACTAGTTTCCCAACTAACATTCTCGTATATCCATCCATAGCTAGTCTTTGCAATCTACTGCCCATGAACAACTCCGAACTACGTAAAATACAGACTTGCAAATTCATCTCTCTGGTTTTTTGTTCATAAAACGTCAACAAACCATACCGTTTACTAGGGACACGAGGCCTCTCAGTTCATAAACAAACTCGCTGTGCAGAGTTGCGTCCCTTGGGCTCGCCAGAAACCTATGATTGTGGGTTCGAATCCCGGTTCGCCCCAATTATGTTTCTAGGTTTGTCAGCACCATTACCGGGCTCGTGGGTTTCACCGAAGTGGTAAACGTTTGAGACCTGCATCACTTCGGGCTTTCCTCCAACATTAAGCTGACACGCCGCGATATAACTGGAATACTGTTAAAAGCGGCGTTAAACCCAACTCACTCACTCATAAACAAACGGGAGTTGTGTTAGCGAATGGACAAATGATCTGTTTATAATAGCCTGTTTGTCGAAGCCAATTTAAAACGGTTATGTAAAGATAGTCCTCTTTGATTCAGAGCTTGACGAAATTAATTACCGCACTTTTAATATCAGATACATTCATTCAGTGTTTATTGTACTAAACTGATTGTGTGTCAGTGCAGAAAATAAAGACGTATCATATGCTGTACTGCTTTTATTGCAAACATCCTCCTCACCACAAACGGAAGATGAGGATGAGTAAGATGAGTATGGATTCCTAATACAGTGCAGTAAGTAGCACTTGGTGAATCCGTGACGATACTTTGTATACTGCCGGGCAAAAGAAAGTATACACTTTAAAACAGGATTTGACAAAAAATTGCAAACTTTATCAAAATGTTACCAGGCTCAAAACAGTCGCCGAAACACAATAAACGTAAGGTCCAAAACACAACTATGACACCCGTATCAAATACATCACCGTTACATAACCTTTTCTTGTTTGTTTCATTTTAGTCACCATCAGACGTGGGTATACTTTCTCTTTTCCGGTGGTTTATATGCAATATAATAAATGTAATACAAGTACATGTATACGTCCATATTACTTCACGTATGAACCTACCTACAAAACAGGGTTTACAGATAAAGTAATGGAATTCGCTGTGCAGAGTTGCGTCCCTTACGTGTGTCAGGATCGTAGGTTCGAATCCAACGTTCATCCTTATCATGTGGGTATAATCTATATAGTAACCGTGTAAGACCTGCATCACCTCCGGGCTTCCTCCCTAATTTGTTTCACAGGACATTGAAATAACTGAAAATTTATACTGTTAAACCCAACTCATTTACTCACTCACCTACAGTCACCAGACGCTGAGTTTCATACAATGCAGCACGCACATTGGGCAGATAATCGATGTCCGAAAATCTGACTTGACGGGATTTGCCACATACCTTGAGAACAGAGATGATATATATTACGGTTTTTCAAAGGGTATTGCAAGTGAATATATATTCCTGCACTATCGCTTCCATATTTGTTTCTCTATAATATGTTTCTCGACTCATGCGTATTCTTTTTTTCCTTCTGAGTAATATATCAACGTCGTTAATATCTATTTACCTATCCATGTAAATATCGAATCATCCATCCACCGTGGGATATATGCAACTACTTTTGTTAAGAACAGGATTTATTTGCTGTCGCTGTAAGGTACAATAAAAAATACGTTCTAAACACATATTTTGCCGAATATCAGCCATGTCCAGCGATCAATTTATTTTATTTGGTAAAACCTCGTGACAAATTATCTTTTTCCATTTTTTTCAGGAGCAAATAATTGTTTCAAAATAATCCCAGTGAGTCATTACGTTGTATCAGTGTTCGTTATAACCGTGTTCTACTTTGTGATTGTTAAACGCCGGACTCCCAGCTTTTTGACGGCGGTCTGTAAATAATCGGGCTTGGATCAGAAAATCCAGTGATTGACATAATGAGCATCGTTCTATGCAGTTGGATTCTGATGATATGCATCAACCAAATCACTGAGCAAGCGATCCCGTTAGTCGCCTCTTACGGAAAGCATGGGTCGATGAAGATGAATTCTAAACCGGATCTTCACGGGTCACCATGTTATACTGTACTCCACCATCATCAGTCCAACATCAGCAGGGATGTACCTAATCACCTTGTCGATCTCTTCTTGGCACGTTGTTCGCACGCTGGGATGTCCCGTAATGTGAATCACAGCCCACCCGAGTGTCCACCCTATGGGAGGTCCACCTGCGGTGAAACACTCCTCAAGACCCACAGCAATGTTTCCATCTGCAGGACATATGTTTGTTTGTTTGTTGTTTAATGCCACACTGAGAAATATTACAGCTGTTTGACGGCGGTCTGTAAATAATCGAGTCTGGACCAGACAATCCAGTGATTGACATCATGAGCATCGACCTACGCAATTGGGATACGATGACATGCATCAACCAAGTCAGCGAGCCTGACCACCCGATCCCGCTATTCGCCTCTTACGGCAAGCATAGTCGCCCTATACGGCAAGCACGGGTTGATGAAGGCATATTCTATCACGGATCTTCACGGGTCTTAAAAACATCTGGATCGAAATTGTGATAAATACTGATCAAATGTTTTGTCGATTAAGTGTAGTATCCATTTATTAAAGCCGAACGGTGTTTTATTTTCAAATGTCCATCAAGAAATAAAAATAAAAAAGCATTCCTCCGGAGTCAAAATCCAGTTTCTTTTAACAACTTTTTGTCATCCAATCAGATTGCAGGATATTATTTAGATATATATATATATAATACCCGAATATAGTGTTGAGTCAGGATTGTTTCTTTGTTCCTTGAGGAAGAAGTCAATCACAGATTTTGGACGGCCCCCATCATAAGTTGGTTTTCTGTCTTCGAGCTCTCCCATCAACATGGCATGTAGACCGTGGTATGCTCCTATTAAATTTCGATATGCCTGAAAAACCAATGTTTGTGATTAACGAACCTGTTAACAAGATTCTGTTAATATCACACAAATGCTTTCGGATACAATGACACCTGTTTAAGTTCATCCATCAGTGATGCCCTGCAGTGATGTTTGTTTCCAACTAAGTGTCTCTAAACCATTAATAGCGCGGCCAAAAAAATATTTTGTTAATCTCCTTAAAACAGGCCATTGTGATCACTGACACTGAGGACATCTCATTACAGCTCACGTCAGAACGATCTTTCATCCGACCAATCAGAGCGTCGCTTACGAGATGAGGAAAGTGAAAATCCGAATGTGTTTACTAAATGTTGCAAACATGAAAAGAAACAGTAAACCGGATGCATTCGGAACAACAGTTGCGGGTTGTACGACTGATTCCGTTAAAACAGTCGTCTATCGCTCTGTGAATATTTGAAACTGTGAGAATTTCCACAGCCTGCGGAAAGTACTGTCATACAATCCCGTTCGTCTATTTGGCATTCCAGAATTTTCATTTGTCCACTTTTCAAATTTTGAATCAAACACTTTGTCAAAATATTTTCAAAGCGTAGTGCGAATGGATGTCTACATTTTGAAACTTATGCAGTAAAGGTCAAGAAAATAGATTTCTTATTGGCTGAATCTGATTTCCTGTTAGTAATTTCATTGGTCGGTCAAAGTTCGCGAAAGGTCGAGCTGACGTGAACTGAAATTGGAAGTCCTCGGGTATTTGTGGTATTATTTTAATGAGAGTGATTATTTTGTTTGACTAACCTTGCCAGTGAACGGAAGGTACTTCAGAAGAGGTACCATTGCCACAGGGGAGAGTGTCCCTCCATACTCTGAAATGTCATCTAGATATTCCAGGACCTTCTCAAGCTTAGGGTCAGTGTGGGTCAGCCTGAAACACAAATTACAAAAGAAAGTATTTAAATCAGCCCGACATATTTAGGATATATTTTATTCTGTATTCGTGTATAGACCCCATGATGTATCCCCAATCATTTTCATGATTGTGTGACTTTTGATTACGTCGCTAATAATTTACAAAATCAGATACCACCTTCGAAGAGGGGGCTGCCTCCGTGTCCTAGTGGTAGAGCGACTGCCTGGTGAGCGGAAGGTCCTTGGTCCGACCCTAAGCCGCGGCATACCAAACGACGTCACAATATGGTACTTGTTGTTACCCTGCCTGTCGCTTGGCATGAAAAGGCTAAAAGAAGGACTGGTCGGCTTGGAGGCAGTATACTGTGTCTGAGTGGGAGTATTCATGTTAAACTGCGGATTGGTATCTAGCACGGTGGTCCAGCACTAAAAAAGGCGGTATTAGTCCGGATAAGTACAAACAGCCACACACACACACACACACACACACACACACACACACACACAAACACACACACACACACACGTGCATGCACGTCGCCATGTAAGTGCAACACTCTTGGACTTGAACGCTCCAAGCTCTCATCAAGCGCTCCAAGAGATATGTGTTCCTCCTTTGCCCCCCCCCCCCCCCCCCCCCCCCCGAACCCTCTCATCTTAGTATTTCAAATGGGGGGGGGGGGGGCACGGGTGGCCCAGTCGTCTAAGGCGCCGCGATTCGCTGTGCAGGGTTGCATCCCTTTGGCGCGCCAGAAACCTATGATTGTGGGTTCGAATCCCGGTTAGCCCCGATTATGTTTCTAGGTTTGTCAGCACCATACCCATGCTCGTGGGTTTCAACGAAGTGGTAAACGTCTGAGACCTGCATCACTTGGGGCTTTCCTTCGACATTAAGCTGACACGCCGTGATATAACTGGAATAATGTTAAAAGCAGCGTTAAACCCAACTCACTCACTCACTAGTATATCAAATTAAGTCATACCTCTTTCCCGTAATGGCGGCATATCGACACGACAAGACTGCCATGTCAATGCTTCCCCCTGGCTTGAAACTGATCTTTCCTTCCTTGGAGAAGTCATCAATAAGCATTTGGACTTCCTCGGTTAAGATTTGTTCGTATTCCACACTCCTCAGGATGGTAGCAAGGCCTGATCGCAACAGTTTGCCTGGATCCACCCAGTCCTCACCACTGGCGAATAGAACTCCTGGAACAAACAGTATGTCAAAGAGTGAGTGAGTGAGTGAGTGAGTGAGTTGGGTTTAACGCCGCTTTTAACAGTATTCCAGTTATATCACGGCGTGTCAGCTTAATGTGGGAGGAAAGCCCGAAATGATGCAGGTCTCAGACGTTTACCACTTCGGTGAAACCCACGAGCACGGGTATGGTGCTGACAAACCTAGAAACATAATCGGGGCGAACCGGGATTCGAACCCACAATCATAGGTTTCTGGCGTGCCCAAGGGACGCAACTCTGCAAAGCGAATCGCGGCGCCTTAGACGACTGGGCCACCCGTGCCCCCGTATGTCAAAGAAGGTAATTTGTTGTCTAATCAGTGTTGTGTGTAAATATTAGTGGCGGCAGATACTGTTGTAAAGGTATTTGGAGTAATGGCCAATGGCAGCCAATGGTTAAACAAGTAGAAAATGTTTGACAATAGCGTTCGGCGACAGCAAGTAGTACTAGTTTTGTTCTAGAATTTAGAGTTATTCGCCCTTGTATACATGAACATCAAGCTCCTTCCCAGCGCGTGACACCTTCGTTACACTCTCGGTAACATCGCTGCCCATGTGTGGGCGCGGCCATTACAAGAATCTTGAAATTTGCCCTCTAACACCATATGTAGTAACGTTAATACTTTTGTTTATGTCTTTGGGAATGCCATCATAGTTCTTTTTTGAAAAGGTTTACGACTGACCATGTTTTCCAGATGAATTTACTTTGTTGTTTTAATAATCAGACTGGTTCGAGATTGCAGACTAACGGAAAATCAGCCAACTTCTCCCTTACATTCTTACTATATCAATTAAAGATGATACTATTAATGAAATAGAAATTCAAATTGACAAACAAAGGAAGTAATTTAGCAGCGGTAAGTGTATTCGGCGTCGCGACAGTCGTCACTTGTTTGTAAACATAACGGTCATTCGGTTGCGAGTTCAACTCCAAGCATGGTTGGTGTCACCTATCACTGTGGGGAGTTTTGATTGGTGGCAGCGATAGTATTGAGAGCTCCGCGATCGGACTATCGCTGTGAGGAGCTTGCATGACCATGGCAAGAAGCGTGAAGGTCAGCGGGGACTTTATAAATTCAAAATGTCAACATCAGTGAATGTTCAATCTTGAGTGTCTCCCGAAACAGATTCTTTTGCGCGTCGTAACAAAATCGTAACATGACAGTCTCCCGTCAACCAACATAACGCTGAATTAGTAGTTTCCTCAGGGATTGTCTGTAACGACATCCATTTAACAAATACACCAATTATATGATATATGCACTGTGTCTCCTGAAACTATCAGATTAATATATATTGTTTATTTGTGTAAGTCCCCTAACCAAGAGCCTCCTGAAGAATAATGAGGCGATCCATGGGTCAAATTGATAATTACTGAGCCTCGTAATGACATGGAATAATGCCAATTCTAGATTTCAGAAACTCAAGGTGAATTGATTCTGATGGCCAGACATCGATAAATGAAATTTAATAAATGAGCTTCAGTGCATTATTAGAATTCTTATATAGTGACAAATGTGATGTCTGATGCAATTCCCTTGTTTGACTTGCACCATATTTTCCCCTGTTTTTTCATGTGAACAATTGACTTGCCTTTGCATGTATTTGTGACGGGTGCCACCGGTGGGCAGGATACGCTCACCTTTTCGCCAACACCTGGCGTCATCACTATTTGATAGTGATTCATAAACACATGCTCATGATATAGTCGCAATCGTACTATCGACTCTACTTTATGCAGAGATTTTCATTGGATATGGAAAGGGTTTTGTCACTGGATTTATATGATAAATGTGTTTCAGTGCATTCTTAGAATTTTTAATATAATTGATTTGTTGTCAACACACATAAAACCCCCAAAGGGAAAACAAACCTGAGAACCACCGCTATTTTACATGAATGCACAAAATATGTGTTGACCACAAAAACATATTGTGCACACGGAAGGTCAAAGTGCAAGACAATGATGTGTGGTAGGCTGGAAAAGAGGACAATATACACTGTTCACGTAAACATTGGAATGAACACAATAATCTAAAATGTGTATTACGTGAGGATGTTATTTTAATTATATTTCTGAAAACAAATATATGTAATTTCGTGTAAAATAAAATAGCTACGCAATAAATCGCGAAGAACAATGAAGAACGAAGCGTGATTTATTTTACGAGAAATTCTTGTTCTACCATGACGTCATTTCTGAAGATTCGAACACGCGCTCGCAAATTGATTGAACGGCGTTATTTTTGAGAGGGAAGAGTTGTTCCCCATAGATGTAACTGGGCCAAGCAGATGTACGCTATGGCCGAATGATTGCATTCCAAAATGGCCGAGATACGACAATCGGTATTGTTAGAAAAGATGCAGATAATCGACGTGAAAATCGTGAGATGACCAACCTCAACCCTCCTGTACATATTCATAACGCTAGATCACAACCAATACATACCTTTACCCAGGCGTTTTATGGCCTTAATTCCCGGGAGAACGCTAGGTCTGTCGATGGTGTTTTCTTCCTGTTTTACAAACGCCTCATGTATAGCATCATATCCCGACACAAGAATCATAGGATATTGTCCAAAATATATCCTGGCAACCTGGCCGTACGTCTTGTGCACCATCGGAAAGTAGCGATGTGTATTCTCTCGCCCGAACAACGCCATGTTGAGGTAGGAGCCAAGGAGGGGCCATCGTGTTGGTCCCGGGGGCGAGCGTCTTTCCCTGACCCTCCGACAGATGAGGTACAGGGTAATGACAAGAAGGACAAGCACCGCTATCCCCACACATGTCAGAATGGTGGCGTTCTTCTCCATCCACCGCGCTGCTATATCAACTGCAGCCCCCATCCTGAATCACACTGTGCTAGCTTTCCGCGTTCGTTGACTTTTGACAAAGTAGCAGCTGTGGACAACGGGGTCACTTACATGTATAAACCTATTCATTGGGATCGCTAATAAGTAAGAGACTTCTTTCTATAGGCATTAAAACCTATTGTGAGGTTTTACTTTCCAGTCGGGTTAAATCTCATAAGCAGGGACGTTGTAATGTCCCTATTATTTTATATAATATCCCAGGGATTTTATATAATGTCCTGGGTATTTTATTAATATAACTTCCGTTCAGATTGTAACATGTAATGAAATGTAAAATCAGATGATGCTTTCTTTATGTTCACGAGGATCGAACTCGCAAACTTCATATCTGTAGCCCAGTGAGTGTACCACGAGGCTACAGAGGTGTTGATAAGCCTCACTGGTTTTTAGAATGTCCTTTTCAAGATCCGTACGCCAGCAACAGATATTTTACGGGCGTTTGCTAAGGTTCATGGAAAGTATGTTCGAAACATAAAAATGTTGATAAATGTTGTTTTAAGTTTCTTTTTACGGTTTATAAGCATGGAAAGCTTCGCCCCTTTGGTTTTTCCCTCTCCCCAGGGCATGCTCTGTCCACCAAAACCTCGTGAGCGTGTTTTCTCCAATACATAAAACATCCAGTGATAGAAGTACATGCAGTTTGAGCGTGATATTATAACGCGGTTTACTCTCACTTTGCCAGCAGGCTGGGGAGATTAACTCATATGGTCCGGTGACTTGCCAGCTATAACCTGTTCTGATTATCTGAGCTTCTTGATGACTTAGCTGTGACCCACTGTGAGCCAAACTTAACTAGTGAAGAGAACTGTGTTCAGCTTAACAGAGATGGCTAAATTATTTGATGTGAACATAAATCACTGATTACTATACTTTTGCAAACAGACATATTGAGTGAGTTTAAAATAACGGGTATATACACTGTATATTTATGGAGGTGCCATTTGAGAATCTACCCGAACCCAATATTCGAAGGACTAAATATTTTTCAGTGGAACGCCAACGGACTCACCTCCCACGGCCATGAACTAAAAACTAAATTTAAACTAAATAAAGGCCCTCACATTGATTGTATACAGGAAACCAAATTCTCAAAAAAATCCAAATTCACACTACCTAACTACAACTCAGTTAGAACTGACAGAGCTAAACCGAAAACAAGAAGAGCCGCAGGAGGACTAATCATATTTATCAGGGAAGATATAAATTACGAAGAAATAAAAATAGACACGCCAAACCTAGAAGCCAACGGCATTAAAATCACATTAAATAACCGAAACATAAACATCATAAATATTTACCACTGGGCGGAACAAAAAGTCCAACCTGAGGATCTAAAAAACTACTCCAAATAAGCGATAAATCTACTATATTCCTAGGAGACTTTAACGCTCACCATCCTACATGGAGCATAGATGATAAAATAGATAATCATGGCAAATTAATCTCCGAATGGATAGAAACAAACGACCTAGTACTCCTTAATAGCAACCAACCCACGAGGTACGATAAGATAAACCAAAAAATGTCGGCTATCGACCTAACCATATGCACCGCAGATCTAGCCCAAAGTACTCAATGGGAAGTGCACGACGTCCCGCTAGGTAGTGACCACTTCCCCATAAACATAACCATAGGAAATACAAACGTACCAATCCAAACAGAAAACCAAGAACCAAAATTCCATTACAATAAAGCTAACTGGGACCAATTCCAAGATATCTGCAACGAAGCTAACCTAAACGAAATAGAAAATAATGATCCAGAAACCTATTGTAAAAACCTAACAGACTATATAATAAACGCAGCCAAAACCTCCATCCCCTTCAAAACATCTAAGACAGGCAAACCGACGGTACCATGGTGGAATGAGGAAATAGAACAGACTAGACGAAAACGTAAATCAGCCTTCAATAAAGCAAAACGCGACTACAAATATTTAAACATAGCCCACGAACTAAACCACCAGGTTCAAAAACTAGTCCAAATAGCCAAAAGTAGAGACTGGAAAAAATTCTGCGAAGGTATAAATAACCGTACAGATGCCAGAACGGTCTGGCGCAAAATCCACGCCATCAGAGGCTTAAAACGACATAAAAAA